CCGCCGAGGTGGCCGCCTTGCGCCTCCCCGGACTTCCCAAGTGGGGGCAGAGCAGTCGCTCGCGGGAGACGTCAGTTAGAAGGCACACAGGGAGAGAGGGACCTTCAAACTCCTCCTCGGCGTCTCCTCTCCACCCCCTTTTGGCCCCTGCCCTTGGAGAAAGTGGAGTGTGGCGCTCGCTCGTCGCTATTCGCTCGGACTGCCTGGCGGTGCGCGGACTCCGCTGCTGCCCGGTGGGGCTCCGGCGTCTCCCGGTGCGGCTCCCCGGCACACCTCTGTCGGCCCTGAGGAAAGGGCTGCGGGCGACCGCGGCCCGCTGCGGACTGGGACTGGGCTACGTGCTGCAGCTGCTGGTGCTCCCTGCCCTGGCCCTGCTCAGCGCCAGCGGCACCGGCTCGGCCGCGCAAGGTAAGGGTCCGCCGGGTTCCGCGGCCACCTCCCTTCGCTTCCTCCTCCCCTCCGTCTCCCTCTCCCTGCCCAGGTTCTCCTGGCTTCCTCAGTCTGCCTCGCTGCTCTCAACTGGAAACCACTTTAAATTCACTTTCCCAACTAGTCAAGAAGCTTTATTGTTGTTATTTTTAACCCATCTTCCGAGATGGGCACGGATGGACCAGGGGCGCACGGGTGTGGACACGCTTCCATCTCTGTGCTTGTGGGAGCCTGGGGTGTCCTTTGCACTCTCAGCTCCGCACGCGCACGTTGTTGCACGCTGCACACACACCCAGGTTTGGAGAGGCTCAGTGGGGTGGCAGTGTGGCAAGCCATGGCTGCACCGCGGTGGGCATGGTGCGCAGAGGCTCTCCGCGCGGTGCCACGGCTGGGGTTAGAGAATCTTCACTAACGTCTCTGGGCAAACCAGGAGCCGCGGAGGGGCGCTCAGCTAAGGAAAGGCGTCCACGACCGCCAAGGACCCGCAGCGCCAGTGCCCCTTGGCCGCTGCCCCGGGCGTGGGGGAGGACCGCAGCCCCCCACTCGGGCCCCGCGCTCCGGTCGGGGGCTGGCCGGGACGCGCAGGCCTCCGCGCTGCCTACCCCCTTCGTGTCCCCCGCCCCACTAGGCGACCGAGAAACTTAAAACCCGAGGGCGCTGGCGAAACGGGCTGGTTGTTCAAACCAAATCCGAAACTCCCTGGAGTAGCCGGCCAGTTTATAACTCTGACATTTTAATTTAACCCGTGCAAGCTTCAAAATAAGTGTCGGGGGGTCCTGGGCAGAGCCGGGGTGGGAGCAGAGCGGCGGCGAATCGGGGTGGGTAGGGGTAGAGGGGAGACACCGGGACCCACTGCGGCTCTCTGCTCGTCCCCTGACTCTGAAGCCAGAGTGGCAGCTGCCAGTCCTGAGCCCAGGAAGCTGAGTGGAAAGGAGGGGAGGAAGAAAGAGCTAAGACTGTCCCTCCGGGTCTCTCTCCGGTCACCTGGGCCCCGACCTCTGGCCGAGCCCTGCGCCCACCTGGGTCTTTTCCCAGGTTCGGTTATAATGGCTGGGCTCCGGGGAGGCAGCTCTGCTATTCCTGGAAGGAGACTTAAGGAAGCTTATGCTGCATTACGAGGAAATTCAGGGACCCCCTCACACACACACACACACACACACACACACACACACGCCCTTCCCCTCGGTTACTCCTCCCAAATTTGGAGGTGCGGGGAGGCGCGGGGGTAGCCCCAACTCGCCGGTGAGGTTCAGACGCTGCCGTTTTCCGACCGCTTTCCCGGTGATCTGCCAGAGGCGCTGGGGGCTGAGGGGGAGGGCGTCGGAGGTGGAGGGGAGTGGAGAGCGCGGGCGAGTGTGGTCCGGCTGGGGAGGTAAGTGATTAGCAAGGCTTTGTGAATTAGCGATAGCTACTTCGGGAGTAAATTTTCCTGCTGCCCTGCTAAGTGGCCGCGCTCATAAATCCTTCTTTCCCTCCTGGCCAGACGCCTCCCGTACCCGAGGCTCTGCTCTGGTTTTCTTGTGCACACCCCCCTAGCTCATCTGTCCATTTTACAGAGGAGTCTCTGCTGAGAATCATAGCTTGTAGGTTTCTTGAAACTGGTGAGAAGTTCTCCCGCGGCAGCTGAGGATGCTTGGGGGGGGGGGGGGCCTTGGGAAGCGTAAGTGAGCAACCTGATGAATAGTCGCGCAATCAACCGCGTGACTCCCTGTGGAATTCTCCTGCTGTTATTGGGCTCACAAAGGGCCGCGCAGTGGGGGGAGCGTGTGTGTGGTGGGGGGCAGGATGAGATAACCATTTGGGAAAAGAACAAGTTAAAGTCCCCAAAGATGCCAAACAGGAGACAGGCTCCCTGCTGAGAGCTTACAACAGCCAAATAATTAAAAAGTCTGGGTAGAAAAAGGATCAATAAAAATAATCAAACAGGAGATTGTAAGTGGATTAATATTGAAAGAAGAAGGGAGAAAAGATGAAAAGAAAAGGTGCTTGGGCTAGAGAGCCAGTTTGCCTCTTGCACCTTTTCTTTCTGTAGGCCAGGCAAAGAGTGAGGATTGATTCTGATCTTAAGTGGAAACATGAAATGGATCCTGTTGGAGGTATGCTTTTCAGTGCCGTTCTCGTCTGTGTAGTTTATTTAGCTCCTTCAGTTGCTGGTGAATAAAAGTTGTGTTGGAATCTTGGGGGTCTGTGAAATGCACTATTGCACTCCTGTTATCTCTGTTGTCCTTCGCGTTCCAGGGTACCAGCTCTTCCTGGGTTGTCACAGGTATCACAGAGATATGCCCCAAACCCTACCCTCAGCCCCTACCCCACCACTAGGATCATTAACCAGCCTGTTTACTCCTGAGCTGCTGGCACACTTTGCTCTCCGAATCACACATTTAATAATGGTCAGACCTCCCTTTTCCTTCCAACTTTCCTCCTTTCTCCTCTCCTTGGACTGGAACACTAGCCCATACCCTCAAGGTAAGATTTCTTTGTGCTGATAACTTAAAGAGCAGAATAAATGTATTAGTGGAAGTCCATATCCAATTCAGATGGGAAAGTTAATTTAAGCACTTTACAATGTGGATGAGGGTTTTAGTTGGTCGTAGAAGTACTAAAACATGAGGAAGTCCTAGGTACACAATGTGTATATATATATATATACACACACATATATAATCTTCAAAGGTAACAAGGGAAACAACAGACAAAAACAAGAAGAACAAGAAATCATAATGGATCTTACTTGTGAGTGTGCTGAGTTCTGTTGCTGTGGTTTAAGAAAAGACAGCACTCATTTTAAACAGGTCCTGGGGAAATTCTCTAGGCTTTAGGCAACAGCTTTCTCCTTTCTGGCTATGGCTTAATTGTTTCATTCAGAATTGCTGGGAACTCCTAGCTCCAGGGAATTTGTGGTGTTTCTGACTTCCAAGAAGGAAAGAGTAAATAGTAAGACGCTGTGTGTGTGTGTGTGTGTGTGTGTGTGTGTGCATCTGTGTGTGTCTGTGTGTGTGTTTGGCCATTGTGTTTCTGAATTAGTGCCCCCCCAACCCTGTCTGATAAATGCATTTTTTCTAGACTATGAAGCATCTCAGTGCTGCCTGTCTAGCACCAACTAGTGTTCTGAGTGTTAACACCACCAAACTGAGAACAGACAATTCCTGAAGACTCCAATTGGATTGGGATAATCTTCTATTTTCTTAAGTTGTACTTTTTAAAAACAAATGATATACTTCTTCCTATAAGAGTGAAAATTCTTTCATGCATTTATGCCTATTTGTGTGACACCAGTAGATAAATCAACATCCGAGACAGCTAAATTCTATTACAATTCCACTATATATTTTTCCCATTTAAGAGCAGAGAAAAATTCCATGATTTCACACTGGGAAATTGCAAAAATGAAAAGTAAGGTAGTTTATCTTTGTTTAGAAAAAAATTCTAGTCAATTGAAGGAATGCTTATGAAGCTCCTTAGAACAAACTTTGCAAACACTTGCAAGGAATGAGGCATCATTAGATTATAACAGATTTTTGACTCCCTGGCCTCCTGTGTTCTAGACACTGAGAGGTCTAAGTTAAACAAGACAGGGTCCTCTCCCAGTGTCGTTTTTTTGAGCTGGTTGTCCTAATGAGAATTCACGCTGATCTATTTTAAGCAAACCCCCTAAGGATATGAAGGAGGTATGAGCTCTACTACGCAAACCCTCTTAGCTTATTTAGAATTATTGTTAAGACTTAAACATAACTGTTCTCTAATGTATGCTCCGTTCTCCAATTAGTGCAAACACTGAGCGTGTGCTCTATTAGGCCTTAACTGCATTTAGCACTTTTCTGATTTAGGTCATGGCTTTGCTGGAGCAGCAGAGGGAGTCACTCTCAGAAGAAACATTAAAATCACAGACTGCAGCCACTTTAGGAAGAGAATGGGGGAAACGGTGGGGGCAGAGACTGAACCAGTGCTCTTGCCTTTTCCTTTTCACTTACATCTTTTTTAGTTTGACTTTTGCATTTTATAGCAGAGAAAAACAAAACTGTTCACATTTTCCCACACGTTAGCTCATTTGGATAGAGTGCAGTGTTAGAGTGAAAGTTCTGATACGGTTATTGTGTGCTTACATTGCAACCCAGACTGTGTGCTATTCGTTACAGATGTGGAGTTGAATGAGACAGTCTCAGCTGTCCAGGAAGGCAGACTTAACATCACACACTTACAAGCCCCTTTCCAAAATACAGCAGTGAGCAGAGACATAGTGCATTCTAGATTCAAGCATCCAAAGATAGAAAATATAGTTCTGGGTAAGGTTCTAATGTGAGTGATGATGCAGGCTCCAGAGTGTGCTTATGGGGGGGGGGTACTAAAGGGGTTAATGTGGCTGGAAGTGGGGTGGTTTTGAAGCTCAGTATGCATTTCAGCGGTGTTGTACTTAGATTTCATATATTAATATAGTTCATCTGGTTTGGGGGAGGCACAAGCTAAAGGTGGTTATATACACATTCTCTCAGTTAGTATAGTGGTTACCAAGCTCTCATAATCCTACTTCCAACACCTCCTACCTGCGTGATCATGAGTATGTTATTTAACCTTCGTGCCTCACATGCAAAGTGAAAATAATATAAACTGTAGGTCATATTAGGATGGAATGAATTAGCCCAGCATTTAGAGCAGTAAAAGCGAATATTATTCTTTAGCTTCCAACTCTGTGAACCACTGGAAAAGAAATCTAGATATTAAAGAAATGAAAGGTTAAAAAAAAAGGAAGGTTAATAGTTCTGTACACAAGAGTAAAGAGGTGCAGACAAGACTTCAGCAAAAGCAAGAAATGAAACTGTTTGAGATCACTGCAAACATCTGGACAGAAGATTCCCACTACTGTGGGAATCTCACTCCCTTTCATAGCATACTTTCTTCCTTTGCTCGCTCACTCACTCGCTTTCTGAAAAAATGAACCTAATTTCAGTTCTAAAAATGCCATGTCCAGTCACTGCTGGTTA